TCTGAGATGCCTCTGCTTTTTTCAGCTTTGTTCTATAACGGGCTTCTGTTTTGTAACAGGTTATTTTTAAACTGAAAAGAAAAGCTGCTTCAGCTTGTATAAACAGGAACAAGTGGCTCGAGGAGTCTTCTCTGAACTCCCATCCAGATGTGCTTCCTTTGCATGTTCAGTCCCAATGGAGTTTATTTTTCCTCATCTGCTGATGCACAGTTTGTATTAGCCGTCCTTTAGTCCTTCGTTAATGGTCAGTTCATGAATAAAATGTGGACTGTGCATAAGTTATAGCATATCTTATATTTTCTGTTTTATATTTTCCCAATATGTTAAACTTTGTGCATTAAAATTTGCTGAAATTGCCATCTTTAAGTTTGTTCTCTGTAGAGCATGTGTTTACCTGTTTTCACATTTCTATTAACAATGCACTATATGGCCAAAAGTATTGGGACACCTACACATTACACCTACCAGAGCTCTAATGAATCCCATTCTAAATCCATAGGCATTAATATGGAATTGGTCCCCTTTTGCAGCTCTAACAGCTTCCACTCTTCTGGGAAGCTTCTACAAGATGTTGGAGAGTGTCTGTGGGAATTTTTGCCCATTCAGTCAAAAGTGCATTTGTGAGGTCAGACGCTGATGTTGGACGAGAGGGCCTGGCTCACAATCTCCATTCTAGTTCATCCCAAAGGTGTTCGATGGGGTTGAGGTCAGGGCTCTGTGAGGGCCAGTCGAGTTCTTCCACACCAAACTCACCCAGTCAGGCCTTTATGGAGCTGCTTTGTGCACTGGGGCTCAGTCATGCTGGAACAGAAAAGGTTCCTCCCCAAACTGTTCCCACAAAGATGGAAGTGTACAATTGTCCAAAATGTCTTGGTACTGAAGCATTAAGATTTCCCTTCACTGGAACTAAGGGTTCTAGACCAACCCCTGAAAAACAGCCCCATAGCATCATCCCTCCTCCACCAAACTTTACAGTCAGCGCAGTCTATTTAGTGTAGATCAGCTGTCCCAGTCCAAGACATTAATACGAACATCACGCGGACAGATGTGGCGAACACATTGTATATAAATCCATGGTAGAGCATAACACAACATGCTGAGTACTGAGACATGTCACAGATATGTGAGATAGTGAAAGAATGAGGAAAGGTTCCTGAGGTGTGTAGTCTTATCTATGTCTTTTCATATGAGGCACTAAAATGAAAGTACATCAGGAAAGAAGGCTCAGAGTGTTCAGTAGTAAATTTAAAACACACACACAGACACACACACACACACACACACACACACACACCCCAAAGAGAAAGTATTCCCCCCAGGCAGCCTCCTGGGAGTGGTTCCTGGAAAACAGATCTCAGCAGACGCGTCCCAGTCTCAGGCTGAGGAGCCGCAGCAGGTGGACCTGAGCTATTTTCTTTAATTTGGAACCAATATCTCTGCGAGCTGGGGGGACGGCATCCGCCGACCCTTTACCTGAACACAGGAAATGAATGAAGAGGTTTTTTTTTTCAGTAACAAGGCACAGACAAGGCCTTCTACAGCAGGACTGACTCTTCAGTAACAAAGGTTAACCAGTCATTCTGTTTGGCATCAAACAAGTGAAAAAGATCCTACAGCTGCATAATTACACTATAAGTAATTAAGCCCTAAACTCTCAGGGTCTGTATGAGGGTCCCACTGTCATAACTACAGAACTTGCACATTAGATTCCTAGTAGTTACTGATTAATGTGTAGTGGATACTGAATGATTCATACTAGATAGTAAATAATTCATAATAGTTACTGAAAAATTCATAACAGCTGCTGAGTGATTCATAGTAATTACTAAACAATCATAATAATTACTGAATAATTCATAGTAGTTACTGAATAATTCATAGTAGTTTGCTAAATAATTCATAGTACATACTGAATAATTCATAGTAGTTGCTGGATAATTCATAGTAGAGACTGAATAATTCATAGTAGTTGCTGAATAATTCATAGTAGTTGCTGAATAATTCATAGTACATACTGAATAATTCATAGTAGTTGCTGAATAATTCATAGTAGAGACTGAATAATTCATAGTAGAGACTGAATAATTCATAACAGTTGCTGAATAATTCATAGTAGTTACTGAATAATTCATAGTAGAGACTGAATAATTCATAGTAGTTACTGAATAATTCATACTAGAGACTGAATATTTTATAATAGTTACTGAATAATTCACAGAGGGTGAATTAACTTTTCTGGTGAAAGTATAGGTTAATACATGACAAGAGGCTGATTAGGGACCATCTAGCAGTTTGAATGAGTGTTTCATTAGTAAATGTTCATTTTGAAAGGTAACCAGTGAAGCCCTTTCAGACTCATGTAATGAATCTGTAACTCCAAACTAGTGCATTGTTTGACACCGTCAGATGCTTTGAACATTCAGCGTCTTTCCAACATGAGCACAGATCATACAGAAAACTGCATTTCTTTTATCAATACACAGTTACAGTCATATCTAACAAGCATCATCAGTGATTCTGTCATCAAAGAGCAGAAACACTGAAATGCTTTGTGCTCTGTAGGTGACTCACCACCACAACAGTGGAGCGGTTATTAAAGTCAGGGTAGACTGAGTGCAGTGTAACAGCTGGACAGTTGTAACATATTAAATATCTATTCATACTGCACAGACAAGGTATCATCCTCTTTATGCAGCCACATACACATCTCCATTATGAAGGTCCTGGTAAAAGTCTGCTTTAGGGGTCAATTAGAACCCCTTTGAATTCAGGTTAGAATAGAAGATTCCTGCGCCTGCATGAAATAATATATATATATATATATATATATTGCAGGGATCATTAATGCTGTGATCATTTATTAAAAAAATGTCTGCTAGTTTTCTGTAAAATCCAAACAAATGAGCAAAGGTGGTCAGCGGGGGACAGTTCACTCCCATATTCATTTAATAATTTCAGGTAAATATAAAGCATCGAATAACATTAAAATTGTTACGAAATGCCTCTATTTATTGTTATTATTGTTTTATTGTTTAATTATATGTTTTTTTATTAAAATGATCATGTTTATTATTGTTACTATTCATCTTATGAATTAATATTTGCATCATGATGTTTGCAGTTATTTAAAAAAGGACCAAATAAAATAGAAACGAAAGAAAAAGGACATTTCCTGTAGTGTGCAGAACAAGACGAATACATTGATGAACAGATTCAGTAACTGATTAAAGAAAATCAGTGCATTAGTTTTGTTTAACCCCTCAAAATCTCCCAGGCTTATTACAAATTCATAAGTTTCATGTAATAACTTCCTGCAAGAGAGGTTTTGGGTCTTACATGCTTCACCATCACTGCAAACAATTCTGACTCAGCAGGTTTCTCTAGAATGGAGTAAACCACTCTGAATGACTTAGATTATGCAGACATTTTGAAAAATTGGTGTAACTGCCCTTTAACAGATCCTCAAATTTGTTTTTTATTTTGGTGGACTGGTCCTGAAGCAGCCCTACCCTACACAATTTAGTTTTTGTCCTCCTGCTCTAGCCCTCCTATTGTCTTTGGGGTCAATTTGACCCCATTCAGTGTTTAAAGTCTCTAAATAACTGATCGACTTCATTTGTTTCACTTTGTGTTTGTTGACTTTTCCTAATTTCATGGAGACGACTCAGTAATCATAACATCAACATGAGATGATTTTAATGTCCTGCACACATCGTAGTTCTTTGGGGTCATTTTGACCTCAGGCTGTTTTAGCTGCATAAAACATACGAAACGTTTTGGATGATACTGACGTCATTGTAACATGCAATTTTACATTCTTCAAAAAAAACCTTCCCTCTGCTTTAGAACCCTAACCTAACATAACCACACCTATGATAGTGCGAGAACCACTGATAGTTCACCCCACATGTGGGAGGGAAAACAGAATTCCAGGATTCCCACCACAACTTTGATATTTCCCAGAGGTTTAAGTTGCTGGGGTCAAACTGACCCAGAGTACAAAAGATATTAGTAAATTTGAGGGTGACCGGAGGGCTGGAACACCAGTTCAACCTTTAAGCTAATCGAGGAGCGCTGAGTTGAAGTGGGCATGTCAGAGCAGGAAAAACTAAATTCCTTCAGGAGCAGCACTGGGAACCTGCACTGCAATATCAGTTAGAATGTCTTCATCAGCAAGATGCATCCACTGAATTCAAACTGGATATGAAACTGAAAACAGACGCACAGAGAGAAAAGCAATTGCACAAGCCAGAGTTTCTCAGCCACTGGGCTGTGCACCACAAAGTGGTCCGCAAAGCACCCTTTGGTGGTCCTTGGGCCTTCCCAGTGGTCCATAGTGGGCTTTTAATGGCACTAAAAAGCTAGGCACCCAAACATAGCTGTGTTCAAAATTCCCCCAATTTTTTTTGTAGTTTTGTTTTCCTGTGGGCTGCTGTGCTTTAAACACTCTTAAAAAAGATGGTTCTGCAAGGGTTCTTTAGTAAAATAAATGCTTCTATATAGAACCATGAACACTCAAAGAACCATTTTCATGATAAAAAGTTTCTTTGCATGGCGAAATGGTTCCTCAGATTGATGGAGGATGTGCTGTATGTGGTTCTACATAGCACCCAAAAGGGTTCTTCTATTATAACAAGCTTGACATTGTAACAATAGAAGAACCCTTTTGGGTACTATATAGAACCCTTTTCAAAAAGATTCTATATAGAACCATCTACCGCACATTCTGAAGAACGCTTTCATGATGCGAAGAACGCTGTAATCATGCAAAGAGGTTCTTTGAGTGGCCATGGTTCTATATAGAACCATTTTCTTTTCTTTTTTTGAAAAGGGTTCTATAAAGCACCAAAAAGCGTTCTTCTTTTTGGTGCTATATAGAAGCTTTTTCACAAAGGTTCTATATAGAAACATGTACAGCACATTCTCTGTCAATCTGAAGAACCCTTCCACGATGCATAGAACCCTTAATCATGTGTTCATAGTTCTATATAGAACCATTTTCCTCATTAAAGAACCCTTGAAGAACCATCTTTTTTAAGAGTGCAGTGATAGGTAAGTGGGCATTGAGGCGGGCCTTGGTTGAGAACACCTGGCAGAAGAAGTTTAGTAAAAAATCTCAGCTAAAGTTCAGACAAACCTGTCAGACTCGCCTGGCCGCGCATGTCCCGACAAAAACCTCTAGGGGGCGCCAAAGAGAGACTGCAACAACAAGTAGGCGCTTTGTGTGACCGCCTATTTTTTTCCCACCTGTATTCCGACAAATCCCATCCACTGCGTTGTTATTGGCTGATATTATCATGTACTTCGCTACGATTGGCTAGCAGTCTCGTGTTCTTTCGGGTTGATAGGATGAACAACTGGCGCACTTGAGCAGACGGAGCCGACACTTTCAGCCAATCAATGGCAGGAGGGCGTGGCTTGTCTTAACTCGGGTGTAAAAGGAAATAAAGACCGCGGATTTGGCCGTGACGTATTAAAGGAAAGAGGAAAAGATGCTTAAAGCTTTTGAAGCCGGAGTTCCGACGTTCAGACCACGTTTTGGTGACTCAGGCAGCGGATCCAGAGACGGAGGCGACGTTTAGACCGAGTCATCGGTGTCAGAGCGCGACAGCAGAGCCGCCGGAAAAGAGAGGAAAGAGAAGACAGAGAGGAAGGAGAGGAGGAAAGAGAGAGCCATGTCGAATCTGAAGAAGAGAAGCTCCGGCGCGTCCGGGGACCGAGACGAGGACAAGCAGGTGACCGAGAAGATGCTGTCCTCGGGCGGGGAGAACGGCAGCGCAAGCCGGACTGAGAGCGAGGCTACCCGGAGCCCCGGGAGCGAGGTGGCCGCGGCGGCGGACGGGGAGGAGACGGTGGTGCTGAAGAGGACCATCACGCTGACGAACGGCGTGGCCATCATCGTGGGCACCATCATCGGCTCCGGGATCTTCGTGACGCCCACCGGCGTGGTGAAAGAGGCCGGGTCCGTGGGGCTGTCCCTGGTCGTCTGGGCAGTGTGCGGCGTGTTCTCCACGGTGGGCGCGCTGTGCTACGCCGAGCTGGGGACCACCATCACCAAATCCGGCGGAGACTACGCCTACATCCTGGAGGTCTACGGCTCCCTGCCCGCTTTCCTCAAGCTGTGGATCGAGCTGCTCATCATCAGACCCTCCTCGCAGTACATCGTCGCCTACGTGTTCGCCACCTACCTGCTGAAGCCCATCTTCCCCTTCTGCCCAGTGCCGGAGACCGGGGCCAAACTGGTGGCGTGTCTCTGCATCCGTGAGTGCTGAGAGAGGGGCGGTGGGGTGGGGGTCCTTTCAAAAGTGATGCTGCGTTTGGTGCATGACGTTGCCCCACAACTACACCCTTAAAATAGACGGTTCTTCAGGGGTTCTTTAGTAAAGATAGTGATTCTGTATAGAACCATGACTTCTACACTGTTAGAAAAGGCGGTTCCGTAGTAAAGGCAGTAGTTTTGTTTAGAACCATGAGCTCTACACTCTTAAGGTGGTTCTTCAAGGGTCCCTAAGTAAAGACAGTGATTCTACGTAGAACTATGAGTTCTACGCTTTTAGAAAAGGTGGTTCTTCAGGGGTTCTTTAGTAAAGACAATAATTGGTTCCTTAAGGACTTTTTAGTAAACGCAGTGGTTCTATGTAGAACCATGAACACTCACACAACCATGCTTGCATGATGCAATGGTTCGTCGGATTGATGGAGAATGTGTTGCATATGGTTCTATATAGAACCTTTTTGAAAATGGTTAGAGCACCAAAAACTGTTCTGCTGTTGTTCTTATGTCAAGCTTGAAATCCTTCTGGTACTATAAAGAACCATATACAACACATTCTCCATCAGTCTGAAGAACCATTTCACCATGACAAGAACCACTTAAGCATGCACATGGTTCTCTATATAACTCGTGGCTCTAAACAGAGCAGTTGTCTTTACTAAAGAACCCTTGAAGAACCACCTTTTTTAAGAGTGTGTATCATCAGCAAAGTAATGTTGGGGTTGCTACAGGCTCAGTGGCTGTGTGGTGTTAGTGAACCGGAGAGTGAGAGAGAGAGAGTGAGAGAGAGAGAGATAGTGAGTGAATGAGAGATAGAGAGAGATAGTGAGTGAATGAGAGAGATAGAGAGAGATAGTGAGTGAATGAGAGAGTGAGAGAGAGAGATAGTGAGTGAGTGAATGAGAGAGTGAGAGAGAGATACTGAGTGAATGAGAGAGAGAGAGGAATCTCCCTCAGTAAGCAGAAAGGCCGTCGGGTACTGACGGCCTTTCTGGACTGGAGTAATGTCAGCCCTGCTGAGCCAGGCGGTGCTGGTCTCAGTCGCGCGCCGCAGCGCAGTTTAGCTGGTTTGGTTGTGTTTGGTCTCTTACACGCCGTTGTTAGGCGCGTGCTGCTCGCACAGTCTTCTGGGAAGCGGGCACATGGCGGTAGCAGCACCTGCACGCTGTACAGCGCGAGAGTGTTAAAGCAGATTCCTCCTGACCTGCTTCGTGTGTGTGTGTGTGTGTGAGTGTGTGTGAGGCAGAAAGTCCGCGTGTGTGTGTGAGAGAGAATGTTTACGGGATGTGTTGAAAACGCGCTGCGTTATTTCATCATCCCGTGCGCGCGCGCGCGGGCGGAAGAGAGCAGGCAGCGCGAGATACAACCTTAATACACGAGCGCTTCACCCATCAATGATTGAATGATGTAACAGAAGAGGAGATTGCAGTGATTCAGTGACAGTGAGAGATAAGATTAGTACAGAATATCTGAAGACATGTACAGTAAAGGCAAAGGTTCTGTTTAGAACCACGAATTATATATAGAACAACGCGCATGCTAAAAGGGTTCTTTGTCTGGTGAAATGGGTCTTTAGATTGACGGAGAACGTGTTGTAGATGGTGTAGCACCAAAAAGGTTCTTCCATTGTTACAAGCTTGACATCGTAACACTAGCAGAACCCTTTATGATGCTATATAGAACCATTTATAACACATTCTCCATCAATCTGATAAACAGTTTCACCACGCAGAGAACCATTTAAGCATGAAATGGTTCTAAATAGATCTCATGGTTCTAAATAGAACTATATAGAACCATTTATAACACATTCTCCGTCAATCTGATGAACAGTTTCACCTTGCAGAGGTTCTATATAGATCCCTTGGCTCTAAATAGAACTATATAGAACCATTATAACACATTCTTCGTTAATCTGATGAACAGTTTCACCTTGCAGAGGTTCTATATAGATCCCATGGCTCTAAATGGAACTATATAGAACCATTTATAACACGTTCTCCATTAATCTGATGAGCAGTTTTACCATGCAGAGAACCACCTAAGCATGAAACTCTTCTATAAAGATCCTGTGGTTATAAATGGAACTGTACAGAACCATTTATAACAGTACAGAACCATTTATAACACATCGTCCATCAATCTGATAAACAGTTCCACCATGCAGACACATTTAAACATGAAATGGTTCTATATAGATCTCATGGTTCTAAATGGAACCATTGACTTTACTAAAGAGCCCTATACGTGTATGTGTATATATAGCCTATATATACACATAGGCTATACATAGATATAGATATAGATTTTGGAATGCAGGCTTTTTACTGAGCATGCAGCTCTGAACCACAGGAATGTTGAAACACAAGTCGCTGACGAGGAGGCAAAATGTGCCCTTCTATGCAAAACAGTATAAAATACTATGGAAATTGTTGAAATGGGATAAAATATACTTGCGTGGCTGTCAATATACTTGGAGGGGGGTTACTGTATATAATCATACTCCTATAGTGAAGCAGTCTATTTTTGTTATTAATGCAACATTTATTTTATTGGTTTATATATATATATATATTGTGTAATGTAACTAAGATGTAACATATAATGACATATAATACAGTATATTTTTGTGTCATGTAAACAAGACACGCGATGGATAACACAGTGAATAACACAGTGAATTATAGTAACTTAATGTAGTGACTTAACAAACTCAAACCAGAAAACATTTGTTGTGCACGTCTGCTGAGTTACTGTAATTCATTGTGTTGTTTGCTGCGTTATTACTGTTTATGTTATGAGCTTTGGAAATAGAGCACAATGAACAGTGAATTATAGTAACTTAGCTGTGTAATGAGTGTTGTCTGTGCGAATCGTCCGTCCTGAATCAGACGGGTCATCAGCGCTGGTGTTTGTGTGTGCAGATGAAGTTTACGCTGCGGCCGAGCAGCACAAGAGCTTTAAACAGGATTACTCACAAATACATGACCGATTAGCCATCAGCCACTTAGATTCTCTCTCTCTCTTTCTCTCTCTCTCTTTCTCTCACATGCGCATTCACTCTTTTTCTCCCTCTCTTCCTCCCTATCTCTCATTCTTTCTCTCTCTCTCGCTTTCTCTCACCTCTCTCATACATTCTCTATTTCTCTGTCTTTTCCTCCTCTCTCTTCCGCTCTCTCTCCCTGCCTCTCTCTCGTACATTCACTCTTTCTCTGTCTTTTTCTTTCTCTCTCTCGCATTCTCTCTCTCACACTCTCTTCCCCCCCTTTCTCATACATCCACTCTTTCTTACTCCTTTCTCCCTCTCTTTCTTTGTCTCTTGCTCTCACACTCTTTCCCTCCCTCTCTCTCTCTCTCTCTCTCTCTCTCTCTCTGTCATTTCCCTCTCTATCTCTGTCACACATTCACTCCTTCACTCCCCTTCTGTTCTCCATTGTTCACCTTTCCATCTTTCTGTCCCTCAGTTCGAGCTGTTGTGTGCTTGATTAAGGTAGAGGAATGTACACACCGCCCGGCCGGCTGTGTGTGTGTGTGTGTGTGTGTGTGTGTGTGTGTGCTGTTTGTTAGTCCGAGTAATCTTTACTGTTAGTGGTTGGTCTAATCCTCCAGACAGAAACCATGTGATGCCAGGCTGAGAGAGAGGTAGTGGGGGGTGGGGGGTCTAGGTGTACCATGTCTCTTTTTAGTCAGAATAGTATTGGTAATAGTAATTATCAGCCATACATACATAAATAAGACCATTAAAACAGGGTAACACTTTACTGTAGGGTGCTGTCCATAAGGCTACATGACACTTACATAGGCTTGTCTTGACAACTGACATAACCCTACATGAACGTTTATAAATGCTTTTTCCAGTACACAGCATCTGTCATAAATCAAGATTGGCAAATGTAACTTGTATAGTGAATTAGGCCTGTTAGAATGAGCTTTTGTAAACATTTATGTAGGGTTATGCCAGTTGTCATGACAAGCATATGTAGGTGTCATGTAGCTTACAGTGAAGTATTACCAAAAACTGCTTAAAGAGTTCTTTGTGTATTTTGAACAGTCTAATCAAGCAGAATGACATCATTGACAATGAAGTTGACCCATTCATATGAAACAACTAAATGTAGTATATAAAATTTCACATATGGACATTAATGGGTTTCGCTGTGCTTTTATTGTATATCAACTAAAAATCAATCTTGTTGCATGACACTAAATTCGATGCCAATACAGAAGATATATCGCCCAGCAGAGCTGGGCCTGGACAATGAGGGAAAATATCTAGTTGCAATTTTTCGGCCTAATATTTTTTTTGGTATTTAAATTGTGATTATTTTCTATAAATTGAGGTTTAGACCTTTTTTTAAGACCAGAATATCCACTTTTTCTGACTTGAGGCTTGACCCCTTAACGTAGTGTGACAGAAAGCCAGTAAGTGGGGTTGTGACGTCACAACACATGGAGGTTTGGTGGCCTCTGATTGGTCTGACTCTACAGGCAGTATAGAACTCTGTGTTATTGCATTAAATTTCCCTTCTTAAGACTTTTTGATACTGTAGGTTATAATTGTAAAAAATTGCAGCTCTTGCGATTCGAAAACGTTTTGCACTCTCCCAAATTGCGATTTCGATATAAAAGCAATTAATCTTTAAGCCCTATTTAGAGCATTACCGGGAGTGCTCAGTCTAAAGTCAGGCTAGAGCTGTGGTACGAGGCTAAATCCTCCAGTGCCCCTGTGCTGTTTCCCATGGGTTTCTGCTTGTTGGTATAGCAGCACTCCATTGTTCCAGTGACCTGTTTTCCGCAGGACAGATAGCTGGAGTTATGATGGGCCCTCTGAGGCCCTCCTGGATTAGTCCGCTGCACGGGTCTTCCAGTCTTCCATGACGGGGCCTCCCTAATCAGCCCCTGGTCTGCCTCCTGTGGGCAGTGAGGGGCCACTCTCTGAGCTCATAACCTTGTCTTGTTTATTTAGTAGATGATGGGCTCGGAAAGATATAAGCTTATGTTTAAAGGGCTCATATCACTGAAAAATGTTGTTTTCCTCACTTTCTTTAAAACAAAGCAATGTAGAGTGTAAATACTGTAATAGCTTCACATACAGTCCATAAATGCAAACTAAGCTGCAAAACGGCCTGTTTTGAGCTCACTGTTTAGTGACGTCACAAAAATCTAACTCATTCTCATATCTGCCTGTTCAGCAGTTTATTCCCACCCATTCACATTGAGATTAAGGACCTGTTTCAGCACAGGCAGCCAATCAGAACAGAGCTGTTTTATGTATGTCCGTCTTAAAGGCACAGTAACAAAACCAGCCTGTTTAATTGTGTAAAAATGGATTATGACACTCATAACAGGACTTTGGAAAAAATCAAATTTAAGACAAACGTAGGGTACGGGCTCCTTAACTGTGCTCGCTTTGAAGGCGTCCGGGTGTGTAGCAGTTTTAAAATTGGGAAACTCTCTCCACATAGACTTCTTTGTACGTGTGTGGCTTAGTGCGTGTTCTCATGTGAGTGTCCGTAAAGGCCCCCTTTGTGCACAGAGGCAGTTTAGTGCCCAGACTGATTTGCTGCTAATATGCTTTGAAGTGTTCGGGTATTCATTAGTCGATCACTTACAATGGCAGAGGGTCCGAGGGGGGCTGTTCCGTTAACTGGACCTGCCCGCCCTCTCGGCACATGACACGCCTCACAGCAGGCCGCACTGTACACACAGCGAGGCATCAACAAGTAAGTCTTATAGTAGGGAAGGCCTAATTATTCCTAATTATGTGTAGCTTTATTGTCTCAGATAGCACGTGTGTGGCCTTTCGATGCATCACCCTTTCACACACGTGTCACGACTCGCTGATCTTCCCAGCAGAAACTAAGTCATGTAAAACTTGTGGTTGTCCATAAATTGGTCATGTTGCGGTGAGATGATGCAACAGCTGGAGTAAGTTTCTCCGTTTCTGTACCTTCAGCTGCAGCATCTTACAGCAGTACAGCATGCCAGGCCTCCACACCCTCACCCTGTGGATATTTTCGATTTTGTCATCACAGCATTGTATCTCATAGGGATTGTGTCTAATATGGGCCTTTGGCTGATGATAAAGGGTTGATGTAGTGTTTTGTCGCCTTGAAATTGAATAAAAATGACTGTTTATCTGTGTGTTTTTTCAAAACAGGTCAGTATTTTTCCACAAAAAGCACAGCTCATTTCACATTTCCATGTGGAGGCTGTCAGTAGTCAGGAAAAGGCGAAGAAACTGGATAATGTTTAACCAGTTCTGATGTAATTTATTTACATGAGCATTTAGGTTATGTTCCACTGTGGAAGTATTAAAAACCCCCTCTCTTCCTCTCCCTCTCTCTCTCTCTGTCTCTCTCTCTCTCTCTCAGTGTTGTTAACTGCTGTGAACTGCTACAGTGTTCGTGCAGCCACTCGGGTCCAGGATGCCTTCGCTGCTGCAAAGCTACTCGCCCTGGGGCTCATCATCGTCATTGGCTTTGTGCAGATTGGCAAAGGTTAGACTCACACGCCAACTCACATTCACAAATACTCACATGCATTTCCTCAAGTCAGGTAAGCTAATGGATTAACAACTTTAGACTGTCTGCAACCGTGAAACATTGAGGTCAGCTCTGTGTAGCTTAGCACACATAAATAGCAGACTCTTAGATCTTAGGAGAGAAAAAAATAACCGACATAAATAATAAATATGAATAAAGAAATTTACTTACTTACTTACTAATGTATTTATTTATTTAAATGGACGGTGTGTTGTAGTCCAAAAGTAGATATATATTTCAGTACCACAGGTTTAATTACCGATTTACAGGTTTACTTAAAGAACTGACTGATTTATACGGACCATCTAATACTTATTGCGTGCTATTTTGTCACTTTGGCTAGTCATTTATTTATATGTACACACTTCTATGCATCTGTTATTATCATTCAGATGGGAAACACTTATTTGCTGTTTACCTTGACAACAATTAGTTAAATAAACAATTAATGTTCTCAAAATTTCTACATAATTCAGTGGTAAACAGAGTCATTCAGAGTGGTTCGGTGTGAAATGGTTGATTGTAGAGACTCAGATTTCTTTACAGTGGTGGTGATGGGAACCAGGGGTCACCATGACTACAACACAAATAGAGCCATTTTAAGATTTGTGGTAAATCTCAAGAAATAAGTTTTCTTTGGGGACCATTTTGCCTTACAGCTTCCTGCGTGGCACCACTGCACCATGAATCAGTTAGAAAAAATACATTTTAGGCCAAAATCTTATCTCTGAACTATCATAAAACAATGTCCCAGACATCAGGCAGTGTATTCATAACAGTATTTTATGTCATAACTCCTCTGTGGGGGAGCTTTCAGAGATGGATGTTTGGTGCCTTTCACCACCACTGTGAGCAGTTCTGACTCAGTAAGTTTCTCTAGAATGGAGCGTTTCACACCAAACCGCTCTGACAGGCTTGGTGTATATCTTAACCATTTAATTACACTGAAATTTTGAAAAATAGGTGGAATTCCCCTGTAAGCAAGATATTCTCTCTTAAAAGGTCTGTCTTTGGTGTAGCAGTGTTTGAGAATCACATAGCGTGCAGAAACAGTTTTTGGTTGGACTTTTTGGCATGTCAGTCAAATCCCCCTTTCCTGTCAGCCTAAGTGGTACTTGGCCACATTGAGCGACGAAGCCCACCAGACCCTCTGAAGTCGGCCAGGTGTCTGGTTTGAGAGACCTGATGAATTGCACTGTTAGCTGTTCTGATCAGTTTAGAAGCTCGTCATGAACTCATTCCCCTGTATTCAGTTTTGGCTCCAACACAGATTACAGTTCTTTCTGATTGGACGACCTTTTTAGGTCGTGAGATTTCCATGCTCGTGAATCTGTTGTTCCGCTCGAGTTTGCCACTCTCTGAAGTTGAATTAAAACAGAGAGAGTGCTACAAACGAAGCAGCAGAATCGAACTCGCCATGATCCAAAGCTGAGAAACACTGCCTCATTGTTTGACTGCATGAAGAAGCCAGATTTGCCCCCCTTTTTTAACTGATCAAGGGTTTGCCCAGAATCCTTTTGTGCTCCACTTTCCACAAAACAGCTTTTCATCATGACTCCAAGTTATTGAAATGTTTCACACACAAATCTCCTCTTTATCTCAGACCTGTTAGCTTTAAAAGCTCTGAACAGAAATAACCACACCAAGGTGAGCCGAGTCTGCTGTTGAGATGAGTTCATCCTGAAGGGAAACACGATTTCCCTTTCTTTCTTCTTTCAAACAAAAGGTTCGAAAGGGGGGTGTGTCCATATTAAATCTAGTCCACATATGGAAATTGCAAAAAACAGCCCAATCTGATGTCAACCATGAATACATTCATATAAAAGCACTCGTTCATTTAATTTTTCTTACCATCTGGGCCGTGTGGGCAGTCCCTCCCCAGGTGAGCCCAGAACCGAATCAGCAGGGGTTGGGGTCATGCCTAAATCCTTCAGCCAGTGGACCTGCTGACCACTATGGGCCCTGAAACAGTAGCTCTAATTGTTCTCTATTCAAAATGTGGCTCTGCAGCTAAAGTAAAGGGGCCGGAGGAGTGGGAGTGGGGGCTAGAGGGGGGCGAATTGTAGTTGTGGCTGGCAAGCTGTGCTGGTCCAACTGGCTTGAGCCGGACAGGATGCTGTACAACATCTCCAGTGTTGATTAAAGCAGAATTACATTGATTTACTTACTCACCAAGGTATCACCTCTCCGGTCTCAGAGGGAATCAAACATTAAAGTGTGTTGTTTAGCGTAGTTAACAGAGTATTAAGGTCAAAGATCTGAATATGTGTAGCTATTGCTCCTCTTACTGAATTCCCCCTTGTTGACTAAACCCAACGTTCCTTTGTTTATTTTACTCATATAAGATTCTTCCTGATATTAAGGAGAAATGGAGTAAAGATGCAGTAATGCAAGCTTTCTAAGTCTTAGAGATTTGGCCGTCTGCAGTGCAGATTACTCTCTGCCCCGAAACCCCACTAACATAAACGACCATCATGACTGCCAGCAAGGGGCAAAGTGCTAGTGTGGTGATTACACTGACCAAAATAATTTGGTTTTGTTGGATGAATACCGTGATTATAGGTGTGTAACAATACACAGGTTTTTTTCCATTATGGGTTTAAGGTTTAATGTGATTTTCGCTATGTCCTGTGTTAAAATTGTCTTGATTTAGCAGAGCAATAATTATATGGATTAGTTTAGCTGAGAAATCAACATTTCAAAACAAAAGATTGCGAAGTAGCATGATTACAAAATGGTGATCTTAAAAACAGAGAAACTGAGCTTTAAACAGTACAAAAATAGTCAGTGGTTTCTGAGGGGAATGCTGGGAAGAGAGTGGGGGGTGTACTGGCAGTAGAGTTTTAAGTTTCGAAACACTGTTTCTTGATAACTGTAATGAAATTGTTGCACCTTTACTTAACTCCTTAACTTATCATTAACACTCGTGTAAAACAGTGATCAGGCAGGGTGATCATGGCACCTGATAAAAAAAATAACGTTTTTTTAGAAATGACTTTTGTCATTTACTGTTATACTGGTATGCACATAAATGCAGGTAGCGCAACGTACAACTTGCTACCCGTGTAGTAAGTTGCACTATGAGGTCAGTTAGTCCAGTTTGTTGTCGAAGGAGCGGCATCAGACTGTAGTGAGATAACGGGACAAAATAGAGTGGAAAGAAAAGCCAGTCTCTTGGGGTCAGTTAGCCATTATCCTAGAAAGGGGACAAACTGACTTTCCGATCTCAGCCTACAAGCCAAGAAGCTCCGCAGCTTCTCAGCTAAAACTAATAGTGTGAACAGCTTGAAATGTTTACCAAATTCCAGCAGCGTCTGATGTTCATAGTTCGTAAAAGCTTGAGTGTAAGAGACGCACATATGAGACAAACGACTTTCAGACGTAAAACAACATCCAGCACCGTTTAGAAGAGCCGCTGTGGGCTTTACATACACTTGCATTTGACTTGTTAGGGTTAGAAAGCAATGCTAACGTTTGTTTATATATTGGTTATTTTTGTCTTTACTACTTCACCTAATAAAAGTATTTTAGATTTACTTCAGTTATTAAATATGGTTCTTATCAAAAGTGAAGGGACATCCAGAAAAATATGCCGTTGTGAATCTACTAAAATGGTTTACTTCAGCATCCAAAATGGTTTTATTTGAAAATAATCTTAATTATACAGTGATATAAATTTTTGCCCATACCGCTTCTATTGAAGTACAAGCCTAAAGTGGCCAATTCGTCTGATTATCAGCTTACTTTCTAGAACTTGATACTTAGTAGCTCCCAACTGACAACAGCCTGAGCTCAAATAAACAAACATTACTCACCACCGCCCTCTAAAGGTGTTACTACGCCATGTCAGATGCTAGAACTTTTGTTGTTTTCTTAAGACACAAGATGTCTTTCAATTGGTGAGTCCTTTATTTATGTGTATTCGCTTCAGCCCAGTGGATTAAAACGCACCCAATTGAATTGCCTTGTAGACATATGGTCGCGAAAGCTGACAACATAATTACATCAGCTCAATTGAGATCAGGTGATTGTGTAATAACTGTGACAGGCCTAATAATGATTAACAAATGATATATTGTGCAGCCGCAGTGCCAACAGACCGTTCAGTCCTCTCCACACAGCATGTCAGTTGGAGGGGGAGATCACCACCAGGTGTTATTTTAGGCTGGAAGGCTTTACTGTTTATCTTTAACTGTGTTTCTCTATAAGGAAGTGAGAGGCTGATACAGAGAGATTGCGCAACCCCCATAACACAGAGCAGAAAGGCAGAGAATCTTTTAATTTAAGGAAACTGGCTTGTTTACTGGAGTCGTTCTACTTTATTCCTTTTCACCACCATGTATACATATATGCGCACACACACACATACACACACACACACACACACACACACACACACAGTTAAAAGCTTGGATGTGTGTATGTGTGTGTGTACGTTTGTGTGTGTGTGTGTGTGTACGTTTGGATGTGTACATTTGGGTGTGTGTGTGTGTATGTGTGTGTGGGTGTGTGTGTGTATGTGTGTGTGTGTGTGTGTGTGCGTGTACGTTTGAGTGTGTGTGTGTGTGTATGTGTGTGTGTGTGTACGTTTGGGTGTGTGTGTGCGTGTTTGGGTGTGTGTGTGTGTGTGTGTGTGTGTGTGTGGGTGTGTGTGTGTCTATGTGTGGATGTGTGTGTACGTTTGAGTGTGTGTGTGTGTGTGTGTGTGTGTGTGTGTGTGTGTGTGTACGTTTGGGTGTGTGTGTACGTTTGGGTGTGTGTGTACATGTTTGGGGGTGTGTTCATCAGCCACTCCTCTTAGTGATTCTATCTCTGCAGTAGTGCTGCCAACTCATACCAGCACCCAGCATGTGGTATGAAAGGGCGAGAGAGACGCAAAAGAAAGAGAAAAGATAGCTTGAGAGACGGGGCAGAAAGAGAGAACAGGAAGAGCGATAGCAAGAGCAGAAAGAGAG